AAGGGCACAGCATTTCAGTCTATAGCACCCATCAGTACCATAGCTGAACACACATTTTTCTAATTTCCAACCAACTGTATTTTATCACACTTTTGATCACTACAACCTCAGAGGTGAAAATTGTCTTGGTTTTAACTTCCCTTGATTCTATTTTAAAATAATGTGTGTGTGTGTGTGTGTGTGTGTGTGTGTGTATGTTTAAACTCCATTTGTATTTTCCTTTCTAGAGAGTCTCTGTTTACCCAATTTTCTATAGGGTTCTTAGACTCTTTATTTATCTCTCAGATAGATAAATATCTTTTTTCTTGTTGTGATTTTCTTTTTTCTTTAAGAAATTAGCCCTTTATTCTGGGTGAGGTGGCACGTGTCTGTAATCGCAGCGGTTTGGAAGGCTGAGGTACAAGGATCTCAAGTTCAAAGCCAGCCTCAGCAACGTAATGAGGTACTAAGCAACTCAGTGAAACCATGTCTTCAAATAAAATATAGAACAGGGTTAGGATGTGGCTCATAAGTTGAGTGTCCCTGAATTTAATCCCTGGTTAAAATAAAGGAAGGAAGAAAGGAAGGGAGGGAGGGAGGGAGGGAGGGAGGGAGGGAGGGAAAGAAAGAAAGAAAGAGAGAGAAAGAAAAGGTTCTTTATGGTATGTTACAGTTTTTAAAATAATTTTCTTTGACTTTGTTAAACTGTGATTTCTGGATTTCACCTGATGGGCTTGATGGTTGGGAGTTTTAGGTTAGGTTGAGGCATGTCCAACCTTATGAAGTCTGTCCTCCCCACTGAGGCACCTCCTTCCTCTCTCTGCCCCCCCCCACCTCGTTTCCCTCTCCTGCTGCCTTTTCCTCGCCCCGTCAGGGACCCAGAAGTGACCATTAGACCTCCTCTCACAGACTCTGCTTCCTGCCCTTCATGCCTCTGCCTTTCAGACGGACACTTTTCTTGACCCACCTTGAAGTCCACTCACTCTCCCCTTCCTTTCCATCTGCTGCTCTCCTGTCCAGGGAGCTTACTCTGGTTTTCAGTTCTAAATTTTTCTGTTTTTCCCCTCCGTGTCTTCTTTCTTTAGGGAGAATCTCTGTTTTCCACAGCCGAGGGGGTGATTTCATCAACAGCTTTTCAGGGTCATCTTGGCCCCTCTTTCTCTGTGGAATGCCAACATTTCCTACTTCCCTGGGTCTCTGTTCTCAGCCCTCCACTCAGAAATCGGAACCTTAGTGATCCTCTTCTGCCCTGCGCTCCCTGACTTCTCTAACCCAAGTCAGGAATAGGAGCCTGGAGTCTGACGAACAAACAGATGAATAGTGCAACCTGACCATGGTTCAGTGGGACTTGAGATTCCAGCCTTATTCCCTGGTTCTGCCACGATCCACTTCTCACCCTGGTCAGTCACCTCACCCTGGTCACGTATGGGTTCCAAACAATGTCTCCAGGCCTTAGCTCCACACTCATCGAGAGAGAAACGATGAAATGTGCTCATTCCGATTTACTCAGAAATTTTTAAAGTCTTTTTTCTTACTGGGAAGTAACCCAAAGGGGGTATTCAGAAGGTGGCCTCATGTACCATCTTAACAAAGGAACAAAACTTGTAGAGGACTGACAGGATGAAGGAACGGGACTGACGGTTGGGAAGACTGGTGTTTGGCAGGTTTGTTAGGTAGATCTCCCTGTGCTGTCTCTGAGCTGATAAGAATCTGGAGTCACCTCAGTTAACTCAGAGTTGTCCTCCCCTCCCTGGGGACAGGGAAGGACACCTTATCCTGGGTCTGCTTTTCCTCCTTGCCTTCACTTCAAAATAATCCTATGCCCGAGTGGCCTGTTTTAGGGTGCATAATCTGAGCCCCTTTTGTGTTTCACATACACATTATTATTGGCTTGTCTACCCTCGGAGAAATGTCGCAATGTCAACTGAGATCACGTGGCATCTGTTGATTAAGTCGGGTGAATTGGCATTGTCACTGTGATTTCTGTACTGACCCTGACCTGCTCTGTGCTGTGGTTTCGACATCTGAATACATGACAGGATGACGATTCTCTCCCCCGCTGTTTTCTGCCTCCCTCGATAGAGCACTGGCTCTCCTGGTGGGACCTGCTGGCTCATCTGCAGAACGTTCTTTCTCTCTGATTTTAGCTTGTGCTGTGTTCATAGCTCTCTGGTGCTCTTACACATATGACTTACTAACCTGCAATAGGAGCCAGTTTTGTCCAAAACCTCTGCATTTTTCCCAGAAGCAGAACCCCCTGTCGTGCTTAACATCAAGGGAGGGGGCTGTAGAGCTCAGCTTACTGGGTTGTCCGGGATCCCTGCCCTAGAGAGCAGCTGTCCCGCGGGTGAGCTCAGGGCTGTTAGTTACTTTGACTTTTGCAAACTCTACAAAACATGTGACTTTGTGGAGCCAGGGCTGTCCCCAGAGCCTGGAAATAGGCTCAGGAAGTGAGGGCCCTGAAGTTCGAGCTTTGTTAGCCTCCTGGGGAAAAGAGAAAACACGGAGTTTCTATGAGAGTTTTTCTCAGCTTTATTAGGAGACTGACAAATAAAAACTATGTATTTGTTGTAGTCAGCCTCTTCACTGCTCTGTGCAGAAGACCTGACAAGAACAATTTTAGAAGAAACGTTTATTCGGGGGCTCAAAGTTTCAGAGGTCTGTTTGTGGTAGCCAACTCTGTTGCTTTGGGCCCAAGATGAGGCCGAAAATCATGGTGGAAGTCAAGTGGAGGACAGCTGCTCAGGACATGAGCCAGGAAGCACAGAGAGAGCCTTCCCCTCGGCACAGACAAAATATATATCCCAAAGCCAAGCCTCCAATGACCCACCCCTCCGGTCACACTGTCGCAACCTGTCTCCAGTCACCACCCAGTGAATCAAGATCAATATCAATAATCCAATCGCTTCACTTCTGAACTTCTTGGCATTGACTCACACATGATCCTTTGGGGGATCCTCACATCCAAACCATAACAGTATGCAAGATGTATGGTGGGTTGAATTGATAGACACTGCTAGGTGGGCATCACAGTCCAGCTACACATCTGCACCCACTTGTGTGCGCCCATGATGAGAACACCCAAGACCTACTCCAGCAGATTTCTAGTATAAAATACATCATTGTTAACCAGAGTCACCAGACTGTACATTGGGTTTCAGAACTTATTCATCTTAGGGACGATAGTTTGTATCCTTCCATGACTAGACATCAAATAACTTTATTCCATGTACTGCAATAGCTTAACCAAAAGTAAAGGCGATTTAAATAAAATTCTTTGTTCAAATTCTGGTCTTCTCCAAACCCACGACATCCGGTCCAGGTTCATTAGGTCTGTTTGAGGTTGCCTTTTCCAACTTTTTCTTTCTTGATAATGTTTTTGGTTACTATTCAAACGTCACATTACAGGCTTCTTGATTTGTTCTTCTGATATCATCAGTGAAACACTTGCAGGGGCTGTGGGCGTGTGTGTTCCTGGCTGGGGGCATGGCATTGAGGCCGAGGTGGGCAGAGCTGCCTGGCGCTAGTAAAGACGGAGAGTGGCAGGCGCGAGGGCCGTGAGGCTGGCCAGCTTGGGTGGTGTGAAGTCTCACAGCACCTCAAGGAAACGGAAAAGGGTCCATTCTGTCCTTTGTGCTCTGGGAAGGGGTTGGGGGACTTTTAAACTAGTAAGTAAGATGATCCCGTTTACATTTCCAACATTCTGTCTGCTACGTGGAGATGGAATGAAAGGCAGTGGAGACTGTGGGGCCAGGCAGATCGTTTTGTGTGTCCTGATGACAGATTATTTTGATAAGAATAGAGGAAATGAAAACCGATGGCCTGTGGGAAAGGTGTGGGTGGAAACTGCTGGTGGGGCAGATGTTGAGTAGTGAGGGAAAGTGGGAACTCAACTGTCTCTGCAGAGTCCATCTGGGGAGGTGGAGATGGCGCTGGCCACACAGGGAGCCTGGAGCAACAGCAGGGTTGAAGGGGGTGCAGGAGCTCTGCTCATGGCCACACTGAGATCGAGCACCTAATGGACCCTGGAGGAGAGTCAAAACCTGCTGAATAGGTAAAGTCCAGAGCTCAAGGATGAAGTCAGGATGGGTCCACGGTCAGCGGAAAAACATGCAAGGTGAGGGGACTGGCCAGATCACCCTGGGTGTGACTTCACAAGCCAAGTTCAAGGGCAGAGTTCAAGACGGCTTTCCCAAGGGCTGCCTTGACGCAAGTGGGCTCACAAGGAAATCAAAGGCAAAGAAACAGCGTGCGAGCATGCACAGACCCTCTGAAATGTTTCCCTGCCAGAGGCAACAGAGTCACAGGGTGCTGATTTCCACAGGAAACCCAATGGACGTTGTGCAGAGAATCCTAATCAGAAAAACACAAAAATCACTCAAGTCTACCTAAAGGTGCTGTTTCTCCTCTGTGGAAAACACATTTTGTGCTGTCGTCCCAGATATGGAACACCTATAGAAACGTAAAGGTCGTATTTAATATGTCATATAAGTACATAAATACAATTAGATTGTAGTATAGCTGAACAACTATGCTATAAATTAGTATGATTAATTGATAACATAATCGTAGTGCAGCGTAATGATCCTGATATAATACTAGTATAATGTACGGATGCTCTAGATTGTGATTTCAATCACTTCCATGCACTTGTGTCTAGTTCATTGAGATATTTGCAGAATTGAAACCTTCGGACTTAATGGGTTAAACAGGGGGATGGTGGAAAAGGACTCAGAAGAGACAGACAGGGGTCATCTGCATGGAGACTGTGATGATTCTGACACCCTGGAAGGTGACGGTGCTGGAGTGGGGCCCCAGTAACGTGGGAGCCCGGTGCAGGGCCAGGAGCCTCCCACGGGGCACGGGTTCTGACTGGGGGACCAAGGCAGGTGTAAATGAACCTGAAGCATGAGGAAGATTCTGTGAACTTGACCTGCTTATCAATTGAACAATAAAAGTAAAGTTAAAAATTAAACTACTGAGCCAATAAAACCCTCCCAGTCACTAACACCAGGGCTAGAGTTTTCGCTAATCATTTACCTGCAAGCAATTCGACAATTGCAAAAAACTGAGAGAAATTTATTTGAAAGGTAAAGAGGATCCTGCACCCTGCCTCCCTCAGGTTGGCTTTAAGATTTTGCTTTTTAATATTCTACTTTTGAAAGGTGGGGATGGGTCTTTTCCCCTTTAAGAGATGTTTAATTTGCTGCTTTGGGATAGAGACTGTGGGTGTTGAGGAGAACGTTTCTCTCCTGGGAGAATTCTGGAAAGAGAGAGAATCCTCCATCCATTAAATCAGAGAATAAATGTCTCTAAAAGTATAGGTGTGTGTGGTGGTGGTGGTGGGGGGGGACATTATCTGAGCCATTTGGATGCAAACCAGAAGTTTAAACTATACTTTTAAGGGATATATTGGCACTAGATGATCTACAATAAGATTCATGCATTCATGTATTGAGCTTGTTTTGAGGGATACATTAATTTAAATAAAAGCATCGATTATATCTGTGATGAGGCAATTATGTGAATGTTTTCCAGGGGAAGATTTTTTTATCAGGCCTAAAAAATCAAATTACTGAAAACCTACCTAATCTTCCTTATACATTCGTATAGGGAAAAAAGCAAAAATGAAATTCTCGTGGCTCTAGGAAGCCATTCTTGGGTGAAGGGTTCCGGCAGAGAGCTCTAATTTTGGCACTGTGCGTAAGAGCCACCAGCTGTTCCTTTGGGGGGGGGCACATGCAGCACTGCCACCTGAGCTACGTCTGTGTGGTCTCTTAGGGGAAAGTCACCCCACAGAGCATGGGGGCGGAGGCACAGATTGTGTTAGTGGGAACAGACACTAACCATCCTGGTAAGGAGACGGATAAGCTGGCCCAATTTCTTTGCTAGCTTTTTCTCATCTACCTGGTCTTCAGAAACAGCTAAGGCTGAGGATTTCCAAATTTTCAGTTCTCCCTGGGCCTTCAGCCCCAAGCTGTGGATTCAAGGACAGAAAGCCTACCTGGCAGCCTTCCCTCCTAGCTCCGACAGGCATCTTAAACTCCAGGTGTCCAAAGCCAAACTCTCGCTTTCTGTCTGAAACCTGTCCCCCTCACTCGTTCCTGTCTCACTGGGCACACAGCCATTCTCTCCTTTGCTGGAGCCTTCATCTAGATGTCTGATGAGTCCCGCCTTTCTCTCATTCCTACAGGGCCACCTTAGCAAGTCTAACTGGCTCGTCCCCGATATAAGTCCAGGACGTGGTCCTGTCACACAGCCGTCCCAGCCCAGCTGTCATCAACTCTTGCTCAGGGGAAGACACCACTTCCTCCCTGGGCTCCTGGTCCTCATCTGGCCCCTTATGGACCACATACCACACCTCAGTCAAGGTGGTCCCCTGCCATCCCCAGGCCTGTAGGACCCTAAGTGGTGTGGCCCAGCCCACCCAGGGGTCTCCTCTCCTTCTAGCCCTCACACACCCTGCATGACCACACTGCACCACGGTCTCCCAGGAAACACACCCAGCGGCTCTCGTCCACCTCTGCCTCCTTCTCGTCCTTCCCATGTCAGCTAAAATACACGTATCTGTGCAGACAAGGTACAGCAGCTGGACTGGCACCGTCCACCCTTCTCCCTCCCTCGTGCGAGTCACCATTGAGTGCCAGGCTGCTCTTGTTTTCTTTATAGCAAGTGCCACTGATGTGTATTCCTTTCATGCTACACCCCCTCCTGGGGGTAACTTTGACCAGAGCCCATGTCTCAGCTATTGTCCCTGGATGCGTCCCTGGTCATACCATAGCATCGCCCTATCTCTGCCCTCTCTTGCTAAATCTCGGTGTTCTCATAAGCTCCAGCAAACCCTTGATTGCTGGTTATATGGAAACCTGGCAAGCGCTTCAGTTACAAAAGCAAGGAAGGGGGGTGGTTGAGAGAGAACCAAGTCCTCAATCATGCAGGAGAAGGGGCCATGGAGGAAGAGCGCTCCGTTCATTTATCCCACAAATGTTTACTGAACCACTGAATGAGCAGCTGAGAGCGAACTCTCGGGCATTGGTTCACTTGAAGAGCCCTATGGCTCTAGGGGAAATTTTTACAGTGAAAGTGGTCTTCAGTTCCTACAGCTGAAAACGTCTTTTCTGTCCAACTAGCTGCCCCAGGGTGTGGCCAGGAAGGATACACACATCATTCTTATTTTTTAAAGCAGAATGTTCCATACTTTATTCTACCAGTTTCTTCTCAGAATTAACAGGACCCCTCTACTTTACCCATGAGCATTGCTTTGGATTTCAATTCAGTTTTCAGCTTGTTTCTGAACTCGGATACAGACTGCAGGGCTCCATGATCCTGCATCTGCGCTTTGTAGGATGCAAATCGGCTGCTTGTCTGCCAGGTGCTCATTGAACAGCTGTGGTGGTGCACTCCAGAGAGCAGGTGGAAGTTTCTTAGCTCACAGCAATGTCTGCCCCACCCTTGCTCTCCACATCCGTTTGGCCCTAGAACTTCTCTGGTTGTTTCCAAGTGGCAAAGTGTCTACTGAGCATTTTCAGTCTCCAGATGGTCGTGTCTTGGAGTTAGCACATCCGGCCTGAGCCTGTGCAGAGAGGGGTCGTTGTTCTGGCTTCTCATTCCCTTTCTGCCACCACCTCCTCTTGCCCCTCCAGAGAGTGTGCCACTGGCTCATGGTGCCATGCTCTAGAGCCTTTTAAACTGAGTTTTGAACCTCTTGAAGGCTTCTGGCTGTGTATTAGACTCTCCATTGTGATCTTCTTCCTGGCATGAGCCAAAGGCTTCCTTCTTCCCGTGCACAGGGCCCCAGATCCCTCGCTCCTGGATCACTGAGGTCGTTGCTCCCTGCATGCCCCAGTGTCACGGTCTCTGAAGTTAGTGTGTGCCTCTCACTTTTCATTACATCCATGGGGAGATTGCTCGCTATCTTTGGAGCCAGGTATTTAAAGTGATGTTTGACACATTTTATTCACTCTTTCTAGGTGCTTGTAATGGACAGGGCTTTTTTTTTTTCTTCCAATTATTTTAATCCACTGAAATCTTCCAGATGAAATTTCAAATATGTTGGTCAGGTTTCCATGTCCAGTTGATGTGAGTATCAGCTTAATGTCACAGGGCTGCAGAACTAGACAGAATCTTATAGCTTACCAAGGCAATACAGGCTAGATTCCTCACTTTGGAGTGACTGTGACTTTTCCAAGACCACACGATGATAGAGCTAAGGAGACAAATCCACTTACTGAGCCCAAGTGCAGTCCTCTTCCCACCAAACGGTGATCCTTCCTAACTCTTAGGAGGAAAGACTGGAGCCGTGTTGTGTAAGACACAGGACACTTCGCTGTCCTTATTTGCTTTTGTGCTCTTTTACTTCAGTGGGTGAATGCCAGTCTCTGGGAGGAGAGGACCAGCATGTCTACTGAAGCTGCTGTCAAGGTGGCAGCAGGAGACATTTCCAGTGATGGTCATTCAAACACCGCTCAAGAGCAAGCCCCCAGGAAAGGTAAAATCATGCATTTGGAATGTGACTGTGGGAAAAACTGGGATTTCTGTCACTGCAACCTCCCTTTTGTTGGTGTACAGCATTTTTTGCTACTGCTAGTTGCCAAGAATTGTACATAGCTAAAAAGCCGTTTTACTCCTATTTCATTTCTCACAAGAAATCTTGAAGGTAGATAGAAAAGGTGTGGAGTACAATATTATTTAGAGATGAACAAATGAAAAATGAAGCAGATTCTAAGTAGGAAACATGGAAAGCAACTTTGGCTTCTCTGAAAACATCCAGGGCTCGTGCCGGTGGATCTCTCAGCTCATGTTACACCCAGACCCGCCTCAAAAGGAGCAGGCCTTCTTTCCCACCGTGTCCTAGATCTTCCGTCCTCCTTCCTCTCATCTGCAATTGGTGTTTTTCTGGGCTATGCCACAAGGTTAAACACGGAATGCCTTATTTTACCCCAAGTTGTTAATGACTTATAACCATTATGCATTGATTTTTCTAAGGATACAGGCTGGCCCTAAAATAATGCCTTCACAAAGCAAAACACTGACCAAGATGGAACACTTAAAAGCTCAACATGTTGGCCAGTCCGTCTGTGGGAAGTGTGCATGTCTTTAAGAACAGAGGCTCCCCAGTCCAGCCCACCAAGGAACTCAGGATGCACCTGTGGATGCTCATCCTGCAGCCCACCACCATGCCATCCAGAATGAATTCTATTCCATTGGCACTGGCTCCAGTGCTCCCTTGTCTCTATGTGTTTTGCCATCTTTGGGACTATGTCATTGGCCAGATTCTTCTATCCTGTCTGCCCTGCCCCTCAATCCCCTCCCCCCAATCAGTAGCCAATAACGTGAAAAACTTACGTATAAAGTTGAACCATGACACAGCATGACATCCAGGGTCAGAACAATGGTCAAAGGCCAGGTTCTCTGAGTTGGCAGTCCTCATTCTGCCATTTCTGAGCTGCGTAATGTTAGACAAATTTACATAATAGTTCCATATCTCAGTCCGCCACTTCAAAAATGGGGTAATAATAACACAAACTAACTTGAACTGTTGCCCTAAGAATCAGATTTATTAGACCATAAATCCATAGACCAGCACCTCACACCCAGTAAGCACTAAGGCACCGTTAGCTATTACTACTGCCACTCACATGCTGTCCCCTCTGCCGCCCGCCTGTTGGCAGTCCTTAGAGTGCTCATTTATACCTTGTCTAAAGGGAAATTCACGTGTGATCTTCCCCGTTTCCTGCAGTCTTCTAGGACACCTGTCCATCAGGCTGCTCAGCCCCCTGATGACCACCTGGGAGTCAGCTGTGTCAGCCAGTGCCTTTGTACCCCTATGCAGCCTGGCGATGCGAAAGGCAGCTTGCTACTTGGCAGCCGTCCCTTCTGGGCAGCCTCCCCACCTGAAAAGCCAGACCCCTCTGCTGGCTCCACTCTTCAGCCAGCTCCTTGTGTCTCTCGGGAACTTGCAGGAGCAGACCCTTTCTGGGTCATTGCTAGTGTCCACATCAGCTTTTCCTTGTGGCTCCCTGTCTCGTGTCCACAGGGTGCTCCTAGGTCTTCAGCGTCAGACCCCAGGCCATGGATGGGGCTCCTCTGGGCACTGAGGGTCGCACAGGCCCCTGTAGTCTTTGCTGGGCATCACTGGGCTCCCAAGACACCCGGACACCAAGTGCAGGAGTTTCATGGGGTGTGGAGAAGTACCCCGTCACTACCATGTGCCACTCTGGTCACCTGGTCGCATCTGAATCTGCTTATCCTCCCAGGCCCCCAAAGACCCTGAGTGAAAAGGAGTGGCCCCAGGTTCTGCTGGAGGGTCACTGTTCCTTCAGTTTCAGGGTTCAGCTAAGGACTCGTGGGGCTGCGATGGAGACAGACCCCACGCTGCCTGTGATCCCCTTTACCACAGAGGCCCATGAGCTGCTGGGTCAGTCTGAGTTTGATTAGAACAACAGAAGCCTGTCTAAGCATTTCAAGAAGAAAGAGGTTCAGTACAGGGGGCGAGAAGGTTCCACAGACTCTGGAAGCCTAGGGAAACAAGTCAGGTTGGTCACTTTTGGGAAAACCAGAAGTGGTAATGACCCCATCACTGCCAATGACCCCAGCTAGGCACATGGCAAAGAGGGCAATTTTCAGAGCACCCCAGAGTCACAGGCATAGCTTCCCCGCCTGCTATCACTAATGCTCAGCTGCTGCCTGGAGCTGTCTTGGGAGCACCACGGCTCCTCAGTGCACTCAGCCTTCCACACACAGGCGCCGGGCAACCCGCTGGTAAAATCTGAGCAGAATCTGTTTGCATGGCAGTCCGAAGACTGCAGTTTCCACATCTGTGCCCCTCTGCGGTGCATGGGCTCTCTCATCCAGCAAGGAGGTCCACAGAACAGGGCAGAGGAGAATGTGGCTACGGAGTCACTAATCAATCACTTCGGAAACCAAGCAGGAAGCAGGTCTGATTTTATTGCACAGTTACCATGGATATAGACTCAGGCAGTAGCCAAGCAGATTACAGCAGCCACCAGTGCAATGTCTGCTAACTGTCCTTGCAGCGACCAATCCAGGAGTGGGCCACAGAGCAAGCACAGGGACGGCCACACATGGCCTCACGCCCAGGGTGTGCCTATGGGGTGAGCAGTTTGCCGCTCACACGCTTAGCATGAGGGGAGGGGTTTGCCCCTCAGGTGCCCTTAATGAAAGCCATGTATGCAGTACTCCATGCACCTGTCCCCACCCTGGGACTGCAGAGATTGCCTAAGGGTGGGGATGACACTGAGACTCTATAAGCAATGTCAGGGACATTTCTTTTCCTCCTGTCAAAAAAACTTCGTGGACTTTGATACGCCCCTGCCTATGGCCCCTGCAGGCCAATCTGCAGGTAGAGCCCCTTCTGGACTGTGGAAGTAAGAAGAGTCCACTGTACACTTTAAGAAAGTACCTCCACTGAGGCGGAAACCAGGGAGCCAGCCATTCCACAGCCCTTGACACAGACCTAACACAATCTGAAAGTCAGGGGGTCGCCAGGAGCCGCCAGGCCACCCGTCCCGGAAGCACAGTGCAGGGTTCAGAGGAAAGCACTCTGTGGGGCTCCCGCTCAGGCTCCCAGGACAGTAGCTGTGCAGGCCACAGGGGCGAGGCCCCCCAGGGCCTGCAGTGGCCAGTGGTGGAGGAGCCTCCCCTCCTGGCTCCTGGGCCTTTCTAAAGATCTGCAGTTTAGCCTCGGAGCCAGCACCATGGAGCAGAGGCCAGCAGGAGTGGCCGCAGACACCAGCTCAGACACTGGAGAGCACTGGCCCACGTCCGCAGTGTTACTGCAGGGTTATCCCTTTAACCGGGGAGGAATTCCATGACACCCACACACCACTGCCACCCGCGTGCCAGCCTTGCCTCAAGCCAGCAAAGGTGACCCTGCGTGGGGTGTCAACACACAGAACAAAGCCATGTGCAGTGGGCCCTTCCAGGTGGAGGCTCAGGGGCACCACAGAGGCCTGCGTGGAATGTGTGTTAGCACAGGGGGGAGAAAGGAAGGGAATGTGCTGATTAAAGAGATTATCAGGGCATCAGAGGAAGGTAACGGCTCATTTTAAGAGCTGTAGCATAATGAGTGCATGTCCGTGTTAGGCTCTGAGCTCTGGGTGCAGTTAAATCTGAAGAGTCCCATGTGGCCCCTCAAGGAGGGCCTGCAGGAGCGCCCCCCCTCCCCAGGAGCTAGCTCACCCCACCAGCCAGAGCCGCGGTCGTCCGCCCTCACGTTGGGTGCTCCGCGTGCTTGTTTTAGGGGCAAATGGAGACTACTTCACCTCACACTTCCTCAGGATCTCGGTACTGATGAGATGACGGTGGTACAGCAGCTTGTTACAGTATGAAGCCAACCAACAGGAAAATACGAAACACGACCTCAGAGTAGAGGAGAAAAGAGACTAAGGGGAAAAAGTGTCACCGCAGAACTACTTCGGGATTGGCAGCAGCAAGGAGAGAAGCTGTCACTATGGGAAGTCCAACCGGCTGCGTGGAGCCGTGGCCTGAGAGAGAGGCAGCCAGAGTAGCCCACGGCAGGTGGCAGACCTGCAGAGGGAGAAGACAGCACTCAGGAAGGGGACGTCACGAAGCTTCCCATTCAAGGGAAGAACGCAGAACATTGAAGTAAGGAAATGAGGAAAATCACGTGAACTCAGGTGTGAAGGAGACTGAGGTGAAAAACCTATGTAAGAAGTGGTTCTTGGATAAAGAAGATGCCACTCACAGCAAGATAGCAAGCAATCTGCCTCTCAGATTGATCAAGCAAAGAGGAGACACCCTGCGGAAAACCGGGAGACAGAAGCATTGAAACGTATATAATAGTCTGACTATGAGAAAACATGCAGCAACTGATTTCCTAGTAATTATACCTATAAATATATAATTTATTTAAATCTTACATAATTATAATTTTGCAATTATAATGAAGAAGAAAAATTAAAATTGTATATTTCAAAAAACGTGTAAGAAATGGAGAAAGTTGTAAAAAAAAAAAAGTTTTTCCCTTTAATCAAACAAACCAACACACAAATTGTCTTGGTTGCCTCTCTAGAAAAACTGGGAGACTCCTAAGGAGCAGGAAAATACCCGTGTAGCTTGGGTGGAAGACTTCCAAAGAACGCAAGCTGATGTCGAGCGCAGGTCCTGGCTGGTGCGCTGCAGTGTACTTCCTAGGGAGAATAGACAGCCCCCCTGAACTCCAGCCAAGGGTCCAAGTGACAGCCACATGGGCAGTTGGGCAGCATTGGTACACCTCAGGCTTCCTCTCAAAAACTCACGGCCCCTGTGTGACCATGAGAAAACGTCCTGTATGCCATCAAGGCACATTCCATAAAGTAGCTGGAGGGGACTCTTCAGAATGGTCAACACCACCAAAAAGAAGAGAAGAGAAGGGTAAGAGAGTGGGTCGGAGACCCGACAACCAAATGCAGAGGGGGACGCCCAGGGAAAGCTGAGAACTTTAGTATGTCAACACAGGTCACGAATCGTGTCAAATGTGCCTTACCAACACACCAGGTTAATAACAGGGAAAACCTACGTGACGTGTGGGAACTCAGTGATTCTATGATCCTAAAACTGTCCTAACACGGAAAGTTTATTAAGGGAAAATGAAAACGTCTATGTCTTGATCACAGATCAAGATGGAGAGCTTAGAGCTTTCTTCCTCCTCTTCCCTTTCACCCTCTTCTCCTTCTTCTTGCAAAGGTAACATGTATGGCGGAAATCACACACACACACACACACACACACACACCAATTACATAAGCTGAGTAAAATTCTAAGATAACAAATCATATTCTTCATTAAAAACAGTGTATTAAGAAGAGATGTTCCCCAAATGCAAGGAAAGTCAAATATTACTAATGATAACAAATGAATTTCTGTGAGCTGACTCACTTCTCCTCATGGTGCCTGGAGGGGGGGCTCCATCATGACCCCTGCTTTACAGGTGCAACAGGTGGCCACAAGAGATCAGTAACTTGTCGAGGAACACACATCTCTGATACAACACCTGGGGGTGGGATCCGGGTAACTGATGCCAGGATTGAAAAAAAATCACCTAAAAATGGGCACAGGATGACTTGCTGCAGTTTAGACACAGGTCACACAGACTCCCAATGGCTTGCTAGATGGTGCCACATGAGAGGCACTCCCAGGACTTTCAGAGGTAGCAGGAGTGCTTGATCCTGTTATTCCTATTTAGCAAAGTTTTGAAAATGCTGGTGAATAAAGTTAAGGAATGAAATAAATGTTGCAAACAGCAAAAATAACTCATTTTCCCCATTATTTGTACATAAAATCTTTCTTTTCGTTTTTTTTTTTTAAGTCAAAACCCAAGGGGGAAAAAATAAGCTGATGAAAATAATAGGGGAAAAAAAACAAACCTCAGTTGCAGAAACAATACAAGGTACTTAACCTACTGCGTGGGCCTTAACTGAAGACAAGTAGGAAGTCTCCCCTGGGACAGAGAAACAGGCCTGGAGACGTGGGCAGGCGTCCTTGGCGAGGAAGAGGCGATGCTGTAGCTGTGACAACCTTTCTCAGTTTAATCTGCTGAATCCATACGACTGTGACCGATGGTCCATGCACAGTTAAGTGCCCCAGAGTTAGACCGAATGTCAGCTCCCAGACCTGAGGGAGCATCTGCAGAGGAAGAAGCCCAATGCGGCCTGCTCTGGTGCATCTGCTCCCTGCAGGAGCTTGGGAAGGACACTCACTGCCCAGGGCAGGGATCATGTGTTGCTTCTGGATTTCTCCACACTCTATCAATCTTTCCAACCATCATCAGACTCGTGTATCTTTCTTGATCAAGGGATGGCCCCACAGTTCCCATGGAACAAGAGCAAGTTTTGTGCAAGCCTGGATTATGGGGACATCATGTTCGCCCCAGAGTATCAAGACAAAGATAAAAACGCGTCTGCACTCTGACCCTAGCCTACCTTTCAGGTAGCGTCTCCCCTGAGCCTGGAAACAAGTTAAATGCCCGGGTTCCCTAGTTCTATAAGCGGCATTTCGCACCATGTCAGCTCCCAGGCCAGGGACGTTCTTCAGTCTCGCTCTCCATTTGCAGTCGGTCGCTGACTCTGCCTGATCTCTCTCTGCAGTGCTCTTCCCATCCCCGCCCCCAGCCTCTCATCTCAGGCCCTGGGGAGCCCTGCCCTCAGGCTCATTCCCCCTGATTCCACACGCTCCTCACGCCTCTGCTTGAGCAATGCCTCTAAGGGGCTGCTGTTCCCACATCCCCCAGGGGACAGGGGTCCCCCAGACACCTGCACAGCAAGGTCTGCTGTCCCCATGTTTCCAATCTCAGGCAGATGTCAACCTTCTCATCTTCTGGACCTGGGAAGGGTGGGCAGGGGTGTCCTGATAGGACCTTCTGTGCCCTTCTTGCAGGTCTCTGTTCCGTCCGACACGGGTTGGCCCTCATCTTGCAGCTCTGTAATTTTTCAATTTACACCCAACAAATGAACTTGAGCATTGCCATCACAGCCATGGTGAACAGCACGGTGGCTCCCAGCCAGCCCACTGCCTCCACAGAGATGCCCCCCACGCATCCCCAGGACCACTGGAACTCATCTCTAAAGGAATCCAAGGCAGTGGTAAGTTTAGTGAGACTCTGGACCCTTTATTTTACTCAAGTGGATCATCTTAAAAGGTTATCTCATAAAAGAACGCAACTCTTTTAGCCAATAAATGTGTTTATTGAGCACATACTATGTGCCAGGAACAGCACAAGAGCATACTGTGTGTCTAAGGAGACTTTACGAGTATAAGCAGGAGCTAAGTTAGAATAAAGGAAACAGACTTTACCATTTGGTGGACATAAATTCTTATCCCACAGTGATGGAAATCACCACAAAACAAATTCCACGGATTTGAGTCTACTGTCTCTGCTTCTTTATAAGCTTTCTTTCTTCATGGACGCTCATATTTTAACTGGTCAGTTAGCTATGTCAGGGTGGCAGGGAAGAGTGTGTTAGGCATATGCTTAAGCTTTTTTTCCCCCTTTTATGAAGTTGGTAAATTGGAAGGGTGGGAGAGAGGTAATAGGAAAGAGAATGGCGTATTTCTTTTTGCCTGCAAGGCCTCACGATATGAAGCCAACTTTGTAAGCACAGACCGGCAGTGAGGTTACCTTTGTGGCCTAGGTCCCTGCATACGACTGGAGTCCTGAGATCCAGGGCATCATCCTCAGCTCCCTCAACTATGGCTCCTTCGTGGCCCCCATCCCCACGGGCTACGTGGCTGGGATATTTGGAGCCAAGTACGTGGTCGGCATCGGCCTGTTGGCTTCCTCCGTCCTGACCCTCTTCATCCCGCTGGCCGCTGATGCTGGAGTGGCCTTGCTCATCGTCCTTCGGGTCATCCAAGGCATAGCCCAGGTACTAAGATGTTTCCCAAGTGTGAATGGAGCCTAGCTTCCAGAATGATCTCATGTTCCTAAGATCAGAAATCCCCCCTCCAGGTTATGGTATTAACAGGTCAATATTCAATTTGGGTCAAATGGGCTCCCCCGCTGGAAAGGAGTCAACTCACCTCCATTGCTGGATCAGGTAACTGACCTCCCACTCACCTTCACTCACCTTGTCCAAGAGCGCCAGGCCACACCCCTCAAAGGCCCGAGATCTCACATTCCAATAACCATCACCACAGCCCTGGCTCGCAAGCAGCAGCCTGCACTACCTTGATCAGAACTGGGCACCATTGTGCACCAACATCCTTGTGTTTCGTACGTACTCATTTCCTGTTAGTCTCAGAACAGTCTTATGAGTCAGCCATGTATGATTCTTTTCCTTTCTCACCTCAGGAGCTTGGGGCACACATAGGCTAACAATCATCCAAGGTCACACACCTTCTGAGAGGAGGAGCAGGCTTTGCAGCCAGGCAACCCGGATGGAAGCCTATGCCTGCAATCCTGGCGGTTCTGCGGGAAGCGCGTGGACTCCCAAGCCTGGCTCTCACCCAGAACACTTGCATCTTCCATTCAGGGTCAATGCTGGGGACCTTCATTGTCCTTCTCACTGGTGGCCTCATCTGCCAGAACATAGGATGGCCTTATGTCTTCTATATATTTGGTGAGTCCGTGCTCTTCAAATCTTGGAATTTTCCCTGAAGACAAAGAGCATTAAGCATGATCTCTGTAATGCCGCTTACTCTGGGTGAGCCAATCCAAGTAGGTGTGGACCCTGAGGAGGCATGAGTGGATCCTGTTCAGCTCTAATCGTGCTGTGAATCATGCCGGCTTCTACGACAGCGGTTAAGTTTCAGTAGCCTCGGTGCAAAGCTAGAATAACCTTATGGATTTAGGGGCATCATAGGATTCTTTACTGCTTCTAAGTTGAACCCAAAGGATCCCAGAGCCATTTCTTTCATAAGACATGGAAAATGTTATCTCAGGAGAACTGTGATCACAGGCTATGGTTTTTTTTTTTTTTGAACACATTCTTTACCACTTATTTATTGAACACATTCTTTACCACTTATTTATTGAACACATTCTTTACCACTTCCAGAAAATTGTGTGAATGCAAACTAATCATAGGTAAAATACTGCCTGGAGTGGAGAATCAGTCAGTAGAGCCTGCAGGACAGACCATCAGAGTCTAAAGAGTGGACACAATACACAGAAAGGTGCTGCAGAAAGTTCTGGAGTGTTCCAAAGGCAGTAGTTTACAGCTTCACGTTTTACTTTCATTTGAGCTCTGCATGGGACTGCCCGGCTGCTGCCAGTTCATGTTTGTATGTTTGACTTGTGACACACTCGGATATCCATCCTGTAAATTCCCTGGTTCCTTAGGGTGAGTGCCATTAGTGTTTACATCAGAGGGTCATCCTCTTAAATCAAGGGCTCCTGTAACATTAGGCAACTACATGCATAAAAAATGAATGAATATTAATTACTATAGAATATCAGTCTTCAAAGACTGTCTTTAAAAAATGCCAAAAGGGCAGATTATGAAATTTACTAAACAATGGGAAAGATTTACCATGCTTGTGATTTTGAGGATTAGCAAGCAGCATGTACAAAATAGGAACCACTAAAGACTTGTTGAGTCACTATTAACACCCTCCAACTCCAGTCCACCACATTGCTAATTTTCATGTCTAGCCCCCCACCCCATTAACTTCCTTGAGGGAAAAATTGTATTTGTGTATCCTATAGTCTCAAAATTTAGCACAATGCTTGATGGATGTGTCTGCTGTGTAATGTTTGTGAAGGGACGTGCATATGGCAAGCCGCTTATGTGGCGAGAATACTTAAAACTCCCTCAAGATTCTAAGGGGAGATATTTTTTTTTCTTTTTGATACCAGGGATTGAACCCTGGGGCACTTACCCACTGAGCCACATCCCCAGGCCCTTTTCACATTTTATTTAGAGACAGGGTCTAGCTGAGTTGCTAGGGTCTCCTTTGAACTTAGGATCCTCCTGCCTCAGCTTCCTGAGCCACTGGGATTCCAGGTGTGCGCCACCACACCTGACTCTAAGGGGAGAATTCCAAGAAGGGTCATGCTGCCACTCAGTGCTGATGTCAAGTTCCTGGGGACCAAAATAATGTGAAAATCAGGGACGATTCCTTTCCAGAGGAATAATTTCATTTCTCTAGAAATTGGGTGATCCATTGCACCTAACATGTGCTGCTGCTACATCTCAAGTGCTTCAGGTAAGGGAAAGACGTGGAAAGGTGGAGAAGAGGGGACTTTGTGGAAGCGTGACTCTCAGGAGGGATGCTGGTTGCTACAGGAACAGTGAGAACATTTCCAGGCACATGGGACAGACACACTAATAGCTTGTGGCAGCGTGCTATTGCATCAATACCGCTGCATTTCCAAACCTCCAAATCTCAGTGGTTTAAAACGGCCATCTCTACACTCGTAGTCCCACAAGGCAACTGGGTGACTTCTCTCTGTGTCTGTCATCTGCTTTGGACAATGGGTCAGCAGGAGCATGCTCCTCTTGGCAGTGGTGGGCTCAGAACAGGGCAAAAACCCTGGCCACGCGGTGGGGAGTCTCCACTCAGCACAGGGCCGGGTGCTGGTGACGGGCTGCAGTGTGGGTGTCGGTCATTCTGCCAACCGAGGAGCCATCTTGGGGAAGAGGCCAATTGAAAGCACAATCCTCTCTTCCCAGGTGGAATTGGATGTGCCTGCTGCCTTCTCTGGTTTCCTCTCGTTTACAATGACCCTGGGAATCACCCCTTCATCAGTGCTGGTGAGAAGAGATACATCACGTGCTCCCTGGCTCAACAGGTATCCTGAGCAAGGCCCCTGCCCTCTCCCCACGACCTGGCACCTCACGTGCAGAGCAGAGCCCGTCTTCCGATGGAGCGGGTGTTGATATGTGCTTTCTTCCAGGACTGTTCGCCAGGCTGGACTCTGCCCTTAAAAGCCATGATCCTATCCCTGCCACTTTGGGCCATTGTTGTCTCTTACTTCTGTGAATACTGGCTTTTTTATACCATAATGTCGTACACGCCCACATACATCAGTTCCGTACTTCAAACCAACCTCAGAGATGTGAGTACAGAGAAAGCTCATTTTGTTCTTCTGTTTAAATGCTTCATTCTACAATCCTCTGTGTCTCCCGTGGTTGCAAAATGAGTGGATTAGGCCCAGGACTCCATACAGGAAATGCAGCCTCGCCAGCTGGCTTCTGGCTGACCCCAGTGTGGTTTACTGCTTGTCGGAGCAGTGGGTCATGGTTGTAGGTCTGTGTGACAGTCCCACAATTCATGTTTAAGAGTACTTTGCAAACATTTTACTCTCAATTCAGTCAACATTTGTGACTGAGACACTGCTGGCAGCATAAATAATAGACACAATGAAAATCTGTGACCGAGAAGCACAGAAGAAAACCGTCCCAAGTAGAGCTTACCTAAAAAAATTGAGGATGATGTTTCTCTAAAAAAATATTTTGTACATGTATCACATGGAGAAAAGAGGGCACGTGGGTGTACGACCCTCCAGATCTTCACAAAGTGAATGGTTGCTGGCCCGCTGGAGAAGCTGTCCGATTTCCACTAGATGGATGTCTTCAGGTGGCAAAGAGTTATTAGAGGTGGCAGCCATAGTGACCACTATCACCTCCCACCTCTCTGCTCACAGAGGCGCCTTCTCATGCAGGGTCGCCTCCAGTGGAAACGCACACAGCCGCCAAGGGACAGCTGACCTGCTTGGGGTGTCAGAGCCCGGGGCACACGTGCAGGAAGGAGGCACCGACTCCGAAAGCCCCAGGGAGGAGTGGCTCTGTGTCCTCTCAAAGGGGAAAATGAAATGCAACCAGGGGTGCAGAAGGGCCGGGCATGCAGGATGCAGGAGCCAAGCAGCAGACCTCTGAGCCTGGCTGGAGGAGCCCCAGTCTCTGGTGTAAAGTCAGGTGGGGAGGCCAAGGCTGACGAGGACGACAGTCAAATGGGAAGTCAAGTGTGGCCAAACCGTAGAGCTCCCCAGGCCGGGAAGTCCGCAGCCCAGGAGGCCTGCTGCTCTGGGGGTGCCCTCTGTACCACTTAACCTAGATGGGCATGGCTTGCCATCTGTGCACGAGTTAGGGGGAAGCTAAGCTTTCCATTATTTGGATTATACAAAGCAAAGTGTGATCTCATTTCCCCTTCGTTTTCTTTAGTAAGAATTTAACTTGGAGGTTGAATTAAAAATAACAAGCTTCAACCTTTGCAAAACTACATGATTTTGCCGTGATAAAGCTATATGAAGAGTGAAAAATGTTACTCTGGGTCTTGTCTCTAATCTTCCCTGTCTTCCTGGCCTGCTCTATTGACACGTTGTTTTTTGTTTTGTTTTGTTTTGTTTTGTTTTGAATTCTCACATTTTTCCCATTGTTTCTCTGTGAGAATGCAAACATACACGAATATATATTCTTATTTTCTCAACTTTTTTTTTTCACCAAACCTATGGCCTATGGGTCATGGTTTTGCCTTGTAATCTAGGTTTTTGCCATTTAGTATACCTTGAGGTTCTCTTTATATCAGTACACAGGAACTGTACTGGGCAATATTTAGGGGTTTCCATCATTGAACAACGTTGCAGCAAAAGCCTTTTTCATTTGTCATACATTTGCACAACGATTTCTGGGGAGTAGATGTCTTCATGGGAAATTGCTGAGTCAGAGGGGAAATGCACTATCCACTTATATTTGTCAAATTGTTCTGTGTGGGCACCACTAATGTCTGTGAGGACCCAAGTCCCTGCAGTTAATCCTTTTTTAATCTTTGCCAATTTGATTCATGAAAAGTAACCTCTCACTATGGCTTTATTCTAAGTGAAGTTGGGTTTTTTTTAACATGTTTAGGAGCCTCTTGTTTTTCCTTTTTCTGTGAATTGTTTGTTCATTTCCTTCATTTGTCTGCTGGACTTTGGTCTTTTTAATACCTATTTCCACATGATCCTTATATATCAAGAGAACATTTCTTTTTCTTTTTCTTTTTTTTTGAAAATTGAGCTATATGCACATCTTTCCCTAAGTACTGAAAGTTCACTGGCTCATTCCAATGCCTGAAATGTACATTAAAACGGATGTGTCTATAAAGAAAAGCCACAGCTGTGGGCAGTCTGTTCCAGGACTGTCTGTCTCAGTGGGTGGGGGCGCATGCACTCACCTCTCTCCGTCCGTCCTCAGAGCGGGATCCTGTCGGCTCTGCCCTTTGTTGTTGGCTGTGTCTGCATCATCCTGTCAGGTCTCCTGGCCGACTTCCTCCTCTCCAGAAGAGTCCTCAGACTTGTCACCATCAGGAAGCTCTTCACTGCCATAGGTAATGGCCCAGCTGGAGGCAGGAGTGGCTGGGGGAGGCTTGGTGCAGCCTCCTGTTGATCCCACCTGTCCTTCTGCCCAGGTGTGGTCTTCTCCTCTGGGGTCCTGGTGGCCCTGCACTGGGTCAGATCCAGCCACAGCACCAGCATGGTCTTCCTGGTGCTGTCTTCTGCCTTCAGCAGCCTCTGTGAGGCCGGCGTGCTGGTGAACTTCTTGGATATCGCTCCTCGGTAGGACCCCTCGCCTCATTCTCACAGAGCTCTTGGCTCAGGTCCCCAGCCCTGCTGGGACCCGCAGCAGGTCAAAGAGATGTCACCTGCAGCCTACATCCAGGTCACTCCAGGAAAGTCACCTGAGCTGGCCGATCGCTGAGAGCTTAGTGCTTCCAGGTGTGAACCAGAGCCTCCTGTGGCCCCATGACAGCTCTGCTGGGAGAGTCATCAGCCTCTGATGACTCGTCCTGGGGACAGATACCCAGGGCTGACCGCCGAGAGCATTTGTTACGCTCCACGGGGCAGGCCCAGCCACGCCTTTGCTAAGGGGAAGGCACGGTAGCCAGGAGGAGGAGTCTCCTCCAACATGGGCAAGCAGGGAGGTGACTGAGAGCCAGGGCACAGCTCCGGTCAGGTCCCGTCTCAGGCAACAGGACGTACTTCATCTTCAGGTGAGGAACCAGCAAACCATGTGGAGACACCTTGGTCTCAGGGAGCAGCATCTCTCATCCAGGGAGGGGCTTTTGTACCCCAAAGAAAGCTAGAAGGTCTGGCTGAGTAGCCGGCACCAAGAAAACATCCACATCAGGTGCAGACCCTCCCCTGCCCATTTGTATGCGTGACAATGACAAGTTAGTGCTGGCTACCCCTTGGAAGTCTCAGGCCCCGCCCAGGAGTTTACCAACGCTCTGTCAGCTCACTGTACTCAGGTTTAAACACGAGTGAGCGCAGGAGAGCCTGGAGGAACAGGTGAGCTCTAGATAGGGCACAGGGGTGGGAGGGAAGGGGGGACAGGGGTCAGCAAGGACAGTGCAATGTGGTGGGCATCATTATCCAAAGTACATGTATGAAGACACGAATTGGTGTCAACATCCTTTATATACAACCAGGGAAATGAAAAATTGTGCTGTATATGTGTAATAAGAATTGTAATGGATTCCACTATCATTTATTTTTCGAAAAATAAATTTAAAAATTAAAAAAAAAAAACAAGAATGAGCACAGTTCCAGGCTCCCCAGGGCCAGGCATAAGTCCCGACAGCCCAGCCGAGACTGACCCTCTGCTGACCGATGGGTGTCCCCCTGCCCTCAGGTATGCTGGCTTCCTCAAGGGGCTGATGCAAATCTTTGCACACATAGCAGGAGCCATCTCGCCCACCGTAGCAGGAGTGCTCATCAACCAGGTGAGGCCAAACGTTCTGATGAATGTCCATAAAAGGAACTCAGAAAGGTTGCGCCACAGCCATTAAAGCAAGGGTGTTTGTGTTCCCTCCTTAATGGGGCTCATCAAACTCTAGCATCCTGAGCACCTCACATGTCCTCATTACAGCCCCAGGCTGACCTCGTCTAAGGAAATGGCCACATTCTTGGGATGTGATGGTGAATGCTCACAGTTATGTTTATGCTTTGTGAGTCCTTGCAAAATAAGCTTCTCAAGATAAAAAGAAAATTCTCTAGGAATATTTGACAGTAATATTTGCAAAGTAGAGTGGCCATCCATCCCAGTTTGCCTGGGTGCAGGGCTGTCAGCGTCAAAGCCTTGAAAGTTCAAGGCCATGGTTGTAGAGTGAGCCGGTCACTCTACAGTGTTCACAGGATGAATGGGCCAGATGCCACGTGGGTGGCAGGTGGCGGTGGCGGGTGGTGAAGCCAGCTCAGGAGCCGCCAGTGCAGAGACAGCTGTGGCCAGTGAGGTCCCTGTCCAGGGCCTTTCCTTTGCATAGCCCTCCTCCCTGGGAGATGCATGAGAAGGAGTCAAACCAGCAAATTCACCTGATGACTGGAGCCTTCCCCTAATCTTATTGACACAGCCTTTACATAAATACGGGTGCGACACTTACCTGTTTGTCACTCTGTGACCTGCCTGTCACTTACTGGTTTCCTTCAGGAGAAACAAGTGGGGAATAACAAAGAAGGGGGTGTTTTGAAGGAAACCACGTCCCTTCTCCTTTTGGAAGTCGCAATTCTTTTCTAGCTACTGACACATTGTTGGGAAATGTGTTTTTTTTTAAATAGAAATTCTCAAACTGACCTTGTTTCTCCTGCCATTGGTTGATTGATTGATTGACTGATTGATTGATTCTTTCAATGAATATATTTTGGATGTGCCTGTATTGCTTAAGGGAATAAATCAAACCAGAGCCCCTCTCCTTGTGAACCTATACTATAGGAAAGAGACAGAAAACCAGGGTAAAATGCATGACTGACGGAGTGGTGGTGAGAGCCGAGAGCGTGGAACATCTTACATGTGTACATTTTACCATGGCACACATGCCAGGGACTGGAACTTCAATTAAGTGGGGTGCTCAAGGCAGGACTCCCTGAGAAGGTAGCTCTTAACCAAGGGGTGGAGGGAAGTGAGAGTGAGCCAAGTGGGTATCCGAGGGAGGGCGACCCAGGGAGGAGGGTGGCCCCGGGGGAGGAGGCCAGCGCATTCTCTCCCACATCAGGAAAGCCACCGCATATCCCAGGAACAGCCAGAGGCCCCGAGGCTGGAGCAGGGGAGGCAGCAGCAGGGCAGGGCCCCGTCTCTGAAGCAGAAGGGGTGAGAACCACACGGCCATTACTGACTCACAGTTTCCTGTCTCCAGGATCCAGAGGTTGGCTGGAGAAACGTGTTCCTGCTGGCAGCTGCCGTCAACATCTCAGGTCTGGTCTTCTACCTCATGTTCGGCAGAGCAGAAGTTCAGGACTGGGCCAGAGAGCGGAGATTCACCCACCTCTGAACAGACAGAGCGGCGCATGCGCTCCCTCACTTGGTGTCCACTGCTGTCCCCCACGGACCTTCCCCTCTGAGCCTGCGTGGCTGGATAGCCCCGTGATGGGAACTGGCTTGGTTTTCAGTATCTCCTCATGTCCTTGCCTCTGTAATACTGAAGATTTTACCAGGCTGGGAGATTTTACAGAGGAAACCGTAGGTGTGTCTGAATGGCTAAGTGTCCTCCATTCTCTTAATTTCTGAAACAATGGAAAGTACCCCAGACTAGGAGACCTAAGCAGGCAAAGTCGCTCCCATGTTGAGGCAGGAGGGAATCAGGCCCTTCCGAGGCTCCGTGTGGGTACGATGTCTGCACGGAAACCTGCAAGGAGAAAAGGATGACAGAGAGTGAATCCATCTCAACAGGAGCAATGAACGTCCTGCAGTGGTGTGGGCAGCAGGTGTGGGCTCTTCCGAACTTGCTCTCTGGGAATGCCAGCTCTCCATCGGGATCAGCTCAGTCGTATCTCATTGTTCAGGTGCTCTGTGGATCCAGCTCACCCATAGCCGCCATCTTTGTGGCCATCTTGACTTTGGTCCCGCATCTGGTGTGTGGGTCCAGGCAGATTACTGGCAGCTTAGTGGATAAACATTGTCCAGTTTCTCTCCTGTCCCCTCAAACATATCTTCATAGAGATCCTTCCATCTTAGATGGTCTTCATTTGCTTCTGACCTTTGGGACCTTCCTTGCCATCATTGTGCCACATTCAGTGTCCCAAAAAACTATATAAGACCCACACTGGCTTGATCCCAGTCCAGGGGTCAGGGACTGACCTAGTGTGTCTGCTCTCAGTGAGCCCCCACATGGGCAGTACAGGAGCCATGAAAGAGATCAAAAAAATTCAAAAACTAAGTGAATATTGATGAACATGTATGCATTGCTCAGGGGGGCATAACAGAAAACAAAATCATACACAGCTCACAGGAGCTCAGTATCTCAGAAGGCAGGTGGCCTTAATCGAGTATCACACAAATGAATGTGTAATGATAACCGTGGGAATTGAAGCAATGGGGACATGCACAGGAGAGTGAGTGATGTGCATGTGCACTGACGTAGGCAAGAGAGGTCACACACGAAGCTCCAGATGGGATCTGGAGGACAAGTGTTAACTGTGGCAGGAGGTCCATGGGGAGAATGTTCTAGGAAGGGGCACAGCGTACGCCAAGGCTTGGATGCGAGAGAGAGCAGTCAGGCGTGGACAGAGTGCAGAGAACAAGAAAGGCAGGGTGGGTGAGTAGGCTGTGGGGTTCCGAAGGGCTAGAGCACCCAGGTACTGGGACCAAGCAAGAAAGCACTAGATCAGTGGGTGGGTTAGTGTGTTAGTGGGAAGGACAAGATCGGCGTTCTGTGTTTTGGAAGTCATTCTGCATGAGGGAGCAGGAAGGAATAGGGATTCCCCGTGAACTTCCTCAAGTGATAGGGTGTCTCTGGAGCCACCTGCAGAGCCAGCACTGAGCGAATGATCAACCAGACCACAGCTGGACCAAGGCTGCTGGGTTACCCAGACCTCTCGCCCCCACCCCAATTCTTCCTGTTTCAACCTGCAGCTCCTGTCAGTGCCCCAAGACAGGGATCAGATGCAGGACCTCACCTTGCCTTCCCAGTGTGGCCAACTGGACAAATTTCTCTTCCTGCTTTTCTGTTTGATTTTTGGGGTGAATGACTGCACCTGGTTGGTTAGAACCCTGAAGACGGGTGTCTGGCCCAGGACTCCCGTGACACTATCAGCACAGCAAAGGGAAAAGCAAGACCAAGAAAAAGAGCTCTGCTACACGCCGCTAGGTGCCGCTGTTCCCAGAGCCTCCCACCACCTCGCCTGTCACCTGCAAGGCAAGCTCAGAGGTCCCAGGGCCTATACCTGTCACCAGGTGGCCACAGCAGCTCAAGCAGACCTGGCCCAGCCAAGGAACAGTTGTCAGAAACAGAAAGGGCTCCCCATTTTGAAGAGGAAAAGGAAGCAGAGAAGGAATTCGCTTGTAAGTGTGAAACTGAACACTTCATCAAAGACTTCGGAAGTGTACGCACCACGGAAATGTAAAATATTCTATAAAACTTCTGAATTACTCGAGCAGGCAGGAGGGCAGCAGCAGGAGGAAGACCACCAAGATAAGGAGGAGTTTCTGCAAGGAAGCAAATCAACTCAGGAAAATGAGGTACATTTGCAACGTCAGACGCAGTTGGATTTGATGCATCTAGACCAAAGGGACAGCTCTCAAAGCGGTGAAATAATTGAAGTCACTTATATGTCCTTTTCGAAAAACACTTATTAAGTGAAATGATTTGGAAAGGTGGAATTTAGAAGCGATGTAAAATAGTCCAGAATCTTCAGACTTTTACACACACACACACACACACACACACACACACTCATAATTTAGGGTTGCCATATCAATAGCAGAAAGTAAATTAAAATCAAAAAGTAGAAATCACAGGATAGAAAAAGCTGATAAAATTATCAAATCAAAATACAGCAGGGACACCCAATGCTTGTTTCTTGACAGTTGCCAAACTGCCCATGAACTCCCGCGGAGCAGTGCCCGTGACCACGCAGTCTCCAGAGCTCATTTCCTCCGCCTCTCTTCTTCCTCTAACTCTTCCAGGACTTGAAGCTCATTTACAAAACAAACCTCCCTTACCCCCACTGCTTCCAGAGAGAAGGGTAGCCACAGAGAAGGTCAGGCCCTGAGGCCTTCTTAGCCTGAGCTGTGGAAATAACTGGATGGACCCCTGAAGAAGGCGCCTGCCTGTCTTCCTTGGCTTGGCTCCCATGGGCTTGCTTCCGGGGAGTGGGTTTCTTTGCCAGTTCCTAGGTCAGGGCCTCCTTTGGTTTTGTCCATTGTTGAAGCTGATAGAATACATTCTGAACACTGGCCTTATTGCTGAGGCTGTGGGGAAAGAGGTCGCACCTGTTTTGGGAGCAGAAAGAAACCTTTATGGCAGTGAGTGAGGACAGGGTACGGCTACTTTGCAAGTGCCTAGGACGGTCTCCTGTGAACTTTCTCTGTTAGTGGCAAGATTAGGAGCAACGTGAAAGAAATTAGGGTTTCTCTGGGTCAATAGTGAATGTGCCGGACGTATTTGGGACTGAATACTAAATAAGGAGGTAGATATGAGACCATCAAGCCAGCTCTCAGTCTTATGGGGTTAACAGACACACCAGAAAATTAGGTGTTAACAAATGAGCCAGTCTTTAAGGCTACGGAATTAAGATGATTCTTAATTAGGAGATTAGGAAGTCAGTCCAGCTTTCTAAGACTGTGTGTTCAGCAGAGATACCAAGGAGCCACAGCTGGATGAGACCATGTCACTTAAATCAAACCCATGACACAGAGGCAGGTGAGGCAGAGAGGGCAACTAAGCCCACCTCTCCGTGCGATGACATCACGGGCCTGGTCCCTGTCCACCCATCGATGCCCAGGAGCTGTCCACCTCTGCCCTTCGAGGCAGTCTTGGATTCTGTCCCCACACGCTGCCTCCCTTACTCCAGAGCCTAAGCATCGTCTTGCTCCTGCCTCGGCTGGACTTTGATATGATTCTGACGGAGAGCACAGGGTCCCAGGGAGAGGGGACAGCAGGAATCAGGTGCTGGTGCTCCCGTGGCTATGATCTTGTCCCCGCCATTCCTCTCTTGCTCTTCTCCTCTCAGTTCCCTGTGGCCTGGAGAAAGGGATGTCTCTTCCTGAAGGAAACAGACTTGGGCGAAGAGCTCTGCTGGGGGTGCCACCTGGAGATCTGTGAGCAGCCAGGGGCCAGCGAGGCTCCAGGTCTTCTCCATGAGGGAGAGGAGAACACACACAGGATGGAGCACAGTGCTCTGCCAGGTGTTTGTTAACAATCCCAGGGCTGGGCGCAGTGGCGCACACCTGTAGTCCCAGAGGCTGAGGAGGCTGAGGCAGAAGGATGGCGAGTTCACAGCCAGCCTCAGCAATGGCGAGGCACTAAGCAACTCAGTGAGACCCTGTCTCTAAATAGAATACAAAATAGGGCGGGGAGTGTGGGCCAGTGGTCGAGTGCCCCTGAGTTCAATCCCCAGTATCACCCCCCCCCCCAAAGAAAAAACTCACAGGAAGTACCAAGGACGTTGCACACATCCTCAGCCAATCAGATGTGCCGGAAGAGCCTCATCTGAGTCCACGTGCATATGCGCAGGTCCTGGGCTGCTTTTCTCATGGCACGAAGCCCCCCACTCATTAGCAAAGCACAATGCTGGAGCACAGTGGTTGGATTAGAGCCACTGAGCTCTGACTGTAACTACCCACACCAGAGGATGAGCCCCAGTGTGTGTTCCCTGTTCATCGACTGTGCACCCATCAACCAGTTATCACTGATTAAGGCACTCCACATACGAATGCACAAGTTACCCTCTACAAATCCTAGGAATAAATACACTTGCTTTTTTTTGTTGCATATCGATAAATAAGAAATACATAGTATCCAGTAGGTAAGAAATGCCAATGGATCACTCACAAGACAGCAAATTGAGACGACCAACTCTTGTGACCACAGAAATAGCAAAGCCACAGAAATATAAAAGTGTACATTCCCATTCACAATAAAAGATGACCTATTTTAAAGTTATAGCACAGCTTTTGTCAGGTTGGTAAGATGTAGTGAGATGAAGGTGCATGCTCCTTGGCTTGAATGGCACAGGGAGCCTGACAAGGACACTCCCTCTGCCTTCTTCTTGTCGACACCGGTGTCCCTGCCTGGGCAGAGGTGGCCCTGCTGTGTGCCCCCCCCCCATCTCCTTATCATCTCATCCTCTTTTCTGCAGTGTCCATCTTGACTTTTAATATTCTTTCCCACAACCTTCTGCTGTCTGAGCACCTCCTGTCCCCTGCTGCTCTGAGCTCCTGCGGGCTGCACTGACCTGTCCAGCCAGTCTAATGACTTTGCTAGTTTGTAGGTTCATTTTGTACTATAAGCTTTCAACTTAGGTCTGCTTTGTGGAAATACTTTTCTGTTGAGTTTTCCTCTTTTAGAATACTTATGTGCCCTCTTTCTTCATTTTTTCATCTAGTACCTTTGTATAGCATCAAATTACATTTCTAGGTTTGGAGGGTCTTTTTTCTTCCTTTCAACTCATTAAAGATTACATTTTCATTTGCATGATTTCTGATAATAAGTCTGCTCTAATTCTTATTCTTGTTCCTCTGTAAGTGAGGTATTTTTTTCTCCTTCAGATTCATTCATGATGCTCTGTTTGTCTGGGCATGGTTGCACACATATAACTCCAGAGATTCTGGAAGCTGAGGCATGAGGATCTCAAGTTCCAGGTCAGCCTCGGGAATTTAGCAAGACCCTTCTTAGCGAGACCCTGTCCCAAAGTAAGAATTGAAAACGGCAGGGGATGTGTCCCGGTGGTAAAGTGTCCCTGAGTTTGGTCCCCAGTACCAAAGCAAAAATAAAAACAAAAAAGCAAATGTACAGTTTGTCTTTGTTTTCTGCAGTTAAATATGGAATATCTAGGTAGTCTTCCTTGTTATTGTTTTTTCTTTTTTCTTGTAATGTCATTTGGTGTTCTCTGAGCTTCCTGGATGTGTGGTTTGCTGTCTGCCATCAGTTTTGAAGTGTTGTCCTCCATTATTTTTTCAAACATTTCTTCTTTGCATTCTTTCTGCTTTTGCTGTTGTGGGATGGCTGCACCTTGGTGCTGTGCACAGATTTGGGGTGTCCTGTTAGTTGGTGGGTGTGTTTGATTTTCTTTGCACTTCAGCTTGGGAAGTTGTCTCTGCACTGGTGTCCTTGTTTTCTAGGATTTCTTCTTTAATCTTTCTCGAATTGTCCATGTCTCTTCTGACTTTACCTATTTTGCTACATTTTGCCTGATTTTCCCACTCAGGCTCTTAGCATATTGACTACAGTTACATTAAAGGTCCTGGAATTGCTACACATGTGTCATCTCTGAGCATGATTCCCATGATTACATTAGAAAATCAGGACATAGTGCATTGCTTATAGTGTTACCACTAATGTAAAAAGGGAAGAGAGTGACACATGCTCTTATCTGCTTGTATTCTTGTAAATACAAGAATAATAAGCAGCATAGAAAGAGCAGAGTGAGAAATCTACTCGCTGGCTTTCATTGTTTCCTGTATGTACACCTTCTCACAGGTAAAAACGTGTTCCTTTCAGAGAAAAAGATAATAAAATGTTCAAAACATTAAATAAAAAAGAGAGTGTGTCTTCACCTTCTGTTTCAGGTCTGAAAGCCTTCTCCGTTCTCCTCTTGTCCAACTTCTTGACTACAGGAGCCCCCTGTCCTGGTTTCACAGATCCTCACAGGGGAGCTGAGTACATCCAGACCTTCAGAAACATTGGGGCGCACTGCTGTCGCGGGACATGCTACTAGCAAGGCACCATCTCCCCCTGCCCCCTGTTCTATTGTCCTAGCAATAACATCCAACCTTCACACAAACAGTTAGTAAGACAGGACTTAAAACTTAGGACTGCGTTGGGTATTTCTGACATACCTTCATGCTCCTCCTCTGCAGAGGCGTTAGGTAGGCCACGTGACCTTGTGCGGTTCACAAGGGCTATCAGAGTGAATTACAGCAGGGTATAGGGACTGCTAGTGCATAGGGAAAGGAACAGAGACCTGGAACAGGGAAGCAGGAGGGAAGGGCTCAGCAAAGCCCAGCAAATCTCCCCACTGTAAATTTACTGGGGAATCGACCCAAAGTTTGGACCTGAGATATGAAATTAAAATTGCATATCCTGGTGGCCTTTGAGAAATTAGCATAAAAAGGAAGCTATATGACTGAAAGAAGACCAGACCTCCAGAAATATAATTCTAACTAGAATGTCACAGGAAGCTAACCAGGCTGCCAAATTCTTTGACTCTTGTCTGTTTTAGACGGACCCTTAATGAACACCGTAGTTTACTGTTGGTAATAAGACCCCTTAGAAACAAAACCCTCTCCTTCAAATGTTCTATTTTTATTCTCCAATTCATAAGACTGCTTTGGTTGAGAAGCTCCTGTGCACATATTGCGGAGAGAGATTACATTTAAAAATGCAGTTACATATTAAGGTATTAGTAAGCTAGAGTGGTGGGTGCGGGGTTGGGTAGGACCAAACAAGTTAGAAAGCAGGGGTGCAGAAAGAAATGCACACCCATGGCCAAGCACTTTTGAAAGAGTGCATCAGTGCAATCCAATGCAGGAAAGCAAAGTCTGCTTCAGTGAACAATATTTTCCCAAGAAAAATACAAATACATGTTTACAAAAATACTTGACAAGAAATGTTTATAACAGCTTTATTAAAAATAGCAGAATGTTTGGAATGAACATATTGCGGTGCATTAATATGAAGCACATTACTTAAAAAGGGGAGAAATCCTGAGACACTTAACACTCTGGACGAATACACCAACACAACGTGCTCCGCTAAGAATCTAGACGCCAAAAGTTGGCAGCCCCAGGTGTCTATTTTTTTTGAAGTTCAAATACAGGCTTAATTAATGTGCATGGCCTCTTTTATCCCCAAAGCCAGCAGTGGGAATATCCCTCATGTAGAATTCCTCTCACACTGTGAATCTCTGACAGTTCCATCACTGACCCATAGAGCCAGATTGAAAGGACTTGAGTAGTTAGACCAGTACCATCCAGATAATATCCCTATCTAAAGTCACCTGGTTTGGGACCATGATGTCATCTGCAAAATTCTTTCAAGCAGGACCCAGCTTGGGTTTACCAAATAACTGGGAGAAGGTTATGTAAAGACCAGGACCCAGAAATCAGAAGGGGTAATCTTAATATTCTGCCTACCACAGTCAACACTCTGGCCCTGAAGGGTTGTTTTTTTTTTTTTTTTTTTTTTTTTTGTACCAGGGATTGAACTCAGAGTCGCTTAATCACTAAGCCACATTTTCAGCCTCATTTTGCATTTTATTTAGAGCCAGAGTCTCACTGAGATGCTTAGCGCCTTGCCATTGCTGAGGTTGGCTATGAATTCGAAATCCTTCTGCCTCAGCCTCCTGAGCCGCTGGAATTACAGGTGTGCACCACTGTGCCCAGCCCTAAGATTTTTGTTCATCTCACACAAAAAGCACAGTCAACCCACCTCATCATATTATAATATTAGCTCAAGACCCAAACTTCATCAAAAGCTCATTAGTGCAAAATTCAAAATCTCATCCTCTAAATCAGGTACAGATGAGCTTTCTGGGGCACAGTTTCTACCTGTGAACTTGTGAGACTAAAGGAACAAGTTATAAGCCTCTAACATCCCCACCCCTCTGTTCTCATGTGACCACCCAAGAGTCCAACAAGAACTGGACACCTTGGGAACCACATTAGAATTCTGTCACACATCCAAGGTTAGCAAAGTTGTATTGTGGATAAATGATAACTCCATATAAAGATTATTCCAGGTCTATAGAAATTATCATATAGTTTTTCTCTTTTTGTGTTCATTGACAGTTATATATCTTGTATTTTTAAACAACTCTTTCATTCCTAAGATAAATTGTTATGCTTGAGTTTGGAACCCCCAAAAGACCACCAGAGACCAAGATGGATGTAAGCAGCAAAGAGGTGTTTAATTGCGAGCTACCTTGGTCCTCCGCGCACACAGCAACTGGTGATGCTGAGAGGCCCCGAGCCCAGGGTTTGCAGCAGTTTTATACACTTTTTGGGGAAGGCAGGGACTTCACATACATCACAGCATCCCTTAGAAAATCATCACACACTGTGGGAAAATCATAAAACAACTCTAAAACATGATTACCACATTCACTGGCGGGAACAAGTTAGGTAGGGGTGATTGGTTACTACAAGAGGGGGAATTGATTGGTTTAAGCCATGGCGGGGAGTATGTGCTGAACTACATGGTTTCCCAACATGTTATCAACCACCATAAACTACTGGGGGGGTCATCTGGCATCCCAGATATTTTCCCTGTCTCATGCTGATTGGTGGTTACTAGGGGGTTGCTATGGGTCCTCACCTAGCCTAACTGAGTCAGGGACACCTGGTGCCACAGATCTCTCCTGTTCTTTATAGGTAAACAACTCAGCAGGGTGGGTATGTGCCTAGGAGTGCTCTGTGGGTCTTTCCAAGGACAAAGGTCATGTCCCTTCCTTGGATAGGATTTGCTCTGAGGTAGAGGCTGGTTTCTCACCCCCCCCTCCCTTTTCTGGAAACTTTGGAACCAATCATGGTTCCCTCTGTTGGGGGTTTATTTGGGCAGACTCAACATCTTGGTAAACAGTAACCCTCAGGGAACAGTCTTTAACTTCCCAGACTCACTCAAAATTGGCCTCCTAGATCCAACCTGACTCGACTTACCTATCTACACTGTCTATCTATTTCTGGATTCATTCCCCCCTCTAACTTTAGGAACTCTTTATTGCTGTAAGGCGAAGGGGTGACCACTCATTCTGACTGCTTCAAAGCTGAGAGGGGGCGTTGAACGTGAGGAGGCTCTATGACATGAGGGATGATGTGGGGGACATGAGTTCCCTTTTAGAAGTCAGTTCAGTTTGAATTCTGGTTGGGGAAGAACAGGTTGTAAAGTCATCTGGGGATGAGTGCTTCTATGAGAGAAACAAACACCATGAGTACTGAATAAATGTTGCAGCAGCAAGAACATGTCGCTGTATAATAAAAGTTTCCTCATCAGGCTTTAATATCCCCAGTTATCAGGACTGAAAACATAACATTTAACCTTTAGTGTTACAGATGTCCTTCCACATAAGATACAGTTTAATAATTTATTGTCATCTGATCTTGCAAAATCCCTTTAGTAGTATGACCTCTGTGTCTAATAGAGAAACCTTTAATTCTGTTACTCAGGGCTGGATAATCATACTAGCAAACACCAAGCCTACCTGTGTAGGTTAGGAATATCTGTAGGCCTTAAACTAAAAACTACTCTGGCAGTTCCTCTTGATAGTTATCAGGCATTCCTGCTTAAGAATCTCTTTTGTAGCCCCCAGTTTACTTATTCTTGGGGCTAACACAAGGTGTACACCTTAAGTTACATTTAATTATTATTATTATTAAAATGCCCAGGAATAACTGTGTTTTGGTTTTAACTGTCTTTGCTAAGTGTTTAAAATTAAGCAAACTGACTTTTGTTTCTATCTATTGTCAACAATCAGCTGAATT